ACTAGTAGACCTATACCTCTACAGACTAGTATGCCTATACCTCTACAGACTAGTAGGCCTATACCTCTACAGACTAGTAGACCTATGCCTCTACAGACTAGTAGGCCTATACCTCTACAGACTAGTAGGCCAATACCTCTACAGACTAGTAAGACTATACCTCTGCAGACTAGTAGACCTATACCTCTACAGACTAGTAGACCTATACCTCTACAGACTAGTAAGCCTATACCTCTGCAGACTAGTAGGCCAATACCTCTACAGACTAGTAGTCCTAAACCTCTACAGAACAGTAAGCCTATACCTCTACAGACTAGTAGACCTATACCTCTACAGACTAGTAGACCTATACCTCTACAGACTAGTGGGCCTATACCTCTGCAGACTAGTAGACCTGTACCTCTACAGACTAGTAGGCCTATACCTCTACAGACTAGTAGGCCTATACCTCTACAGACTAGTAGACCTATACCTCTACAGACTAGTAGTCCTATACCTCTACAGAACAGTAAGCCTATACCTCTACAGACTTGTAAGCCTATAGCTCTACTTACAAGTAGGCCTATATCTCTGCAGACTAGTAGGCCTATACCTCTACAGACTAGTAGACCTATACCTCTACAGACTAGTAGGCCTATACCTCTACAGAACAGTAAGCCTATACCTCTACAGACTTGTAAGCCTATAGCTCTACAGACTAGTAGGCCTATACCTCTACAGACTAGTAGACCTATACCTCTACAGACTAGTAGGCCTATACCTCTACAGACTAGTAGACCTATACCTCTGCAGACTAGTAGGCCTATACCTCTACAGACTAGTAGACCTATACCTCTACAGACTAGTAGACCTATACCTCTACAGACTAGTAGGCCTATACCTCTACAGACTAGTAGGCCTATACCTCTACAGACTAGTAGGCCTATACCTCTACAGACTAGTAGACCTATACCTCTACAGACTAGTAGGCCTATACCTCTACAGACTAGTAGACCTATACCTCTGCAGACTAGTAGGCCTATACCTCTACAGACTAGAAGACCTACCTAGTGGCCTATACCTCTACAGACTAGTGGGCCTATACCTCTACAGACTAGTAGACCTATACCTCTACAGACTAGTAGTCCTATACCTCTACAGAACAGTAAGCCTATACCTCTACAGACTTGTAAGCCTATAGCTCTACTTACAAGTAGGCCTATATCTCTGCAGACTAGTAGGCCTATACCTCTACAGACCAGTAGGCCTATAGCTCTACTTCCAAGTAGGCCTATACCTCTACAGACTAATAGACCTATACCTCTGCAAGTTAGTAGGCCTATACCTCTACAGACTAGTAGTCCTGAACCTCTACAGAACAGTAAGCCTATAACTCTACAGACTTGTAAGCCAATAGCTCTACTTACAAGTAGGCCTATACCTCTGCAGACTTTTAGGCATATACCTCTACAGAACAGTAGTCATGTACCTCTACAGACCAGTAGGCCTATATCTCTTTAGACTAGTAGGACTATACCTCTGACGACCAGTAGGCCTAAACCTCTTCAGACTAGTAGGCCTATACCTCTACAGACTAGTAGGCCTATACCTCTACAGACTAGTAGACCTATACCTCTACAGACAAGTAGGCCTATACCTCTACAGAACAGTAGGCCTATACCTCTGCAAACTAGTAGGCCTATATCTCTACAGACTAGTAGGCCTATACCTCTTCAGACTAGTAGGCCTATACCTCTACAGACCAGTAGGCCTATACCTCTATAGACTAGTAGACATATACCTCTACAGACAAGTAGGCCTATACCTCTACAGAACAGTAGGCCTATACCTCTGCAAACTAGTAGGCCTATATCTCTACAGACTAGTAGACCTATACCTCTACAGACTAGAAGGCCTATACCTCTGCAAACTGGTAGGCCTATACCTCTACAGACCAGTAGGCCTATACATCTACAGCCCGGTAGGCCTATACCTCTGCAGACAAGTAGGCCTATACATCTACAGACTAGTAGTCCTATACCTCTACAGACTAGTAGGCCTATACCTCTACAAACCATTAGGCATATTCCTCTACGGACTAGTAGGCCAATACCTCTGCAGACTAGTAGACCTATACCTCTACAGACCAGTAGGCCTATACCTCTACAGCCCGGTAGGCCTATACCTCTGCAGACAAGTAGGCCAATACCTCTGCAGACTAGTTGGCCTATACCTCTGCAGACTAGTAGACCTATACCTCTACAGACTAGTAGGCCTATACCTCTACAGACTAGTGGGCCTATACCTCTACAGACTAGTAGACCTATACCTCTACAGACTAGTAGTCCTATACTTCTACAGAACAGTAAGCCTATACCTCTACAGACTTGTAAGCCTATAGCTCTACTTACAAGTAGGCCTATATCTCTGCAGACTAGTAGGCCTATACCTATACATCACCATAGGCCTATACCTCTACATCACCGTAGGCCTATACCTCTACAGACTAGTAGGCCTATACCTCTGCAGACCAGTAGGCCTATACCTCTACAGACCAGTAGGCCTATAGCTCTACTTCCAAGTAGGCCTATACCTCTACAGACTAGTAGACCAATACCTCTGCAGATTAGTAGACCTATACCTCTACAGACTAGTAGTCCTGTACCTCTACAGAACAGTAAGCCTATAACTCTACAGACTTGTAAGCCAATAGCTCTACTTACAAGTAGGCCTATACCTCTGCAGACTAGTAGGCCTATACCTCTGAAGACCAGTAGACCTATACCTCTTCAGACTAGTAGGCCTATACCTCTACAGACTCGTAGGCCTATACCTCTACAGACTAGTAGACCTATACCTCTACAGACTAGTACACCTATACATCTACAGACCAGTAGGCCTATACCTCTGAAGACCAGTAGGCCTATACCTCTGAAGACCAGTAGGCCTATACCTCTTCAGACTAGTAGGCCTCTACCTCTTCAGACTAGTAGGCCTATACCTCTTCAGACTAGTAGGCCTATACCTCTTCAGACTAGTAGGCCTATACCTCTTCAGACTAGTAGGCCTATACCTCTACAGACCAGTAGGCCTATACCTCTACAGACTAGTAGTCCTATACCTCTACAGAACAGTAAGCCTATAGCTCTACTTACAAGTAGGCCTATACCTCTGCAGACTAGTAGGCCTATACCTCTGAAGACCAGTAGACCTATACCTCTTCAGACTAGTAGGCCTATACCTCTACAGACTCGTAGGCCTATACCTCTACAGACTAGTAGACCTATACCTCTACAGACTAGTAGACCTATACATCTACAGACCAGTAGGCCTATACCTCTGAAGACCAGTAGGCCTATACCTCTGAAGACCAGTAGGCCTATACCTCTTCAGACTAGTAGGCCTATACCTCTTCAGACTAGTAGGCCTATACCTCTTCAGACTAGTAGGCCTATACCTCTTCAGACTAGTAGGCCTATACCTCTTCAGACTAGTAGGCCTATACCTCTACAGACCAGTAGGCCTATACCTCTACAGACTAGTAGTCCTATACCTCTACAGAACAGTAAGCCTATAGCTCTACTTACAAGTAGGCCTATATCTCTGCAGACTAGTAGGCCTATACCTATACATCACCATAGGCCTATACCTCTACATCACCGTAGGCTTATACCTCTACAGACTAGTAGGCCTATACCTCTACAGACCAGTAGGCCTATACCTCTACAGACCAGTAGGCCTATACCTCTACAGACCAGTAGGCCTATACCTCTGCAGATTAGTAGGCCTATATCTCTGCAGACTAGTAGGCCTATACCTCTACAGAACAGTAGTCATGTACCTCTACAGACCAGTAGGCCTATATCTCTACATACTAGTAGGATTATACCTCTGAACACCAGTAGACCTATACCTCTGCAGACCAGTAGGCCTATACCTCTACAGACTAGTAGGCCTATACCTCTACAGACTAGTAGGCCTATACCTCTACAGAATAGAAGGACTATACATCTACAGACCATGAGGCCTATACCTGTACAGAAGAGTAGTCCTATAACTCTACAGAAGTTTAGGCCGATACCTCTACAGACCACTAGGCCTATATAGCTCTACAGACTAGTAGGCCTATAGCTCTGCAAACTAGTAGACCTATACCTCTACAGACCAGTAGACCTATACCTCTACAGACTAGTAGGCCTATACCTCTACAGACTAGTAGGCCTATACCTCTACAGACCAGCAGAGAGCTGAGGTGGTGAGAAGAGGAGTAGTCAGAATGTGACACCAGGCCTGTTTTCTTGTTAACACTTAGTGTTAACTGTTGTCAACTCCTTCTCACTGCACTGTAGACTCAGTGCTCCAGTCAGTCAGCATGATGATGGCATTTCTCTCACTCTCTAACTCTCTCGCAACAACACAGAGCTCCCTCGTGTGATTGCCTGAGGATGTGTCATGTCACAGGAGGATGGGTTCTTTTTATATCTGATAGATGTCAGAAAGAGTAGATGCCAAGTGCTTGTTTCCTCAAACACTGTGTTTGAAGTCAAAAGAGTGAGTGGGATGGGGATTGTTTGAAGATGGTGGTTGTGTATACAAAGGGCCTTATCAATTAATGTAAAAACATAAAATAGCATTTAAAAAGATCAGAGAGGGCTATGTTTTTAATCCCCGTCGGCTGGGATAAAGCGTGAAACACTCCAGAGATGTGAAATAGAGTAGAGATTGCTTGCATGACTTAGAACGGACAAAAATATCAATGGTATTCACCCTATAACAATATTGCTACACGCTAGATGTAGAATATATTGTTATGAGCTTGACAATGCCTTTTACCACAATGGCTTCAAAAGCAAAAAGCACTGCATTAAATATTCAAAACAAATGAATATTTTATAAGATTATCTATCTTGGCTTCCTACGCTAAGAGCAGAGTGTTTCAGTTGGCTTCCTACGCTAAGAGCAGTGTGTTTCAGTTGGCTTCCTACGCTAAGAGCAGTGTGTTTCAGTTGGCTTCCTACGCTAAGATCAGTGTATTTCAGTTGGCTTCCTACGCTAAGAGCAGAGTGTTTCAGTTGGCTTCCTACGCTAAGAGCAGTGTGTTTCAGTTGGCTTCCTACGCTAAGAGCAGTGTGTTTCAGTTGGCTTCCTACGCTAAGAGCAGTGTGTTTCAGTTGGCTTCCTACGCTAAGAGCAGTGTGTTTCAGTTGGCTTCCTACGCTAAGAGCAGTGTGTTTCAGTTGGCTTCCTACGCTAAGAGCAGTGTGTTTCAGTTGGCTTCCTACGCTAAGAGCAGAGTGTTTCAGTTGGCTTCCTACGCTAAGAGCAGTGTTTTACTTTGCTTCCTATGCTAAGAGCAGATTGTTTCAGTTGGATTCCTACGCTAAGAGCAGAGTGTTTCAGTTGGCTTCCTACGCTAAGAGCAGTGTTTTACTTTGCTTCCTATGCTAAGAGCAGATTGTTTCAGTTGGCTTCCTACACTAAGAGCAGAGTGTTTCAGTTGGCTTCCTACGCTAAGAGCAGTGTTTAACTTTGCTTCCTATGCTAAGAGCAGATTGTTTCAGTTGGCTTCCTACACTAAGAGCAGAGTGTTTCAGTTGGCTTCCTACGCTAAGAGCAGTGTTTTACTTTGCTTCCTATGCTAAGAGCAGATTGTTTCAGTTGGCTTCCTACACTAAGAGCAGAGTGTTTCAGTTGGCTTCCTACGCTAAGAGCAGTGTGTTTCAGTTGGCTTCCTACACTAAGAGCAGAGTGTTTCAGTTGGCTTCCTACGCTAAGAGTAGAGTGTTTCAGTTGGCTTCCTACGCTAAGAGCAGTGTTTTACTTTGCTTCCTATGCTAAGAGCAGAGTGTTTCAGTTGGCTTCCTACGCTAAGAGCAGTGTGTTTCAGTTGGCTTCCTACGCTAAGAGCAGAGTGTTTCAGTTGGCTTCCTACGCTAAGAGCAGAGTGTTTCAGTTGGCTTCCTACGCTAAGAGCAGAGTGTTTCAGTTGGCTTCCTACGCTAAGAGCAGTGTGTTTCAGTTGGCTTCCTACGCTAAGAGCAGTGTGTTTCAGTTGGCTTCCTACGCTAAGAGCAGTGTGTTTCAGTTGGCTTCCTACGCTAAGAGCAGAGTGTTTCAGTTGGCTTCCTACGCTAAGAGCAGAGTGTTTCAGTTGGCTTCCTACGCTAAGAGTAGTGTTTTACTTTGCTTCCTATGCTAAGAGCAGATTGTTTCAGTTGGCTTCCTACACTAAGAGCAGAGTGTTTCAGTTGGCTTCCTACGCTAAGAGCAGAGTGTTTTACTTTGCTTCCTATGCTAAGAGCAGAGTGTTTCAGTTGGCTTCCTACGCTAAGAGCAGAGTGTTTCAGTTGGCTTCCTACACTAAGAGCAGTGTGTTTCAGTTGGCTTCCTACACTAAGAGTAGAGTGTTTTACTTTGCTTCCTATGCTAAGAGCAGAGTGTTTCAGTTGGCTTCCTACGCTAAGAGCAGTGTGTTTCAGTTGGCTTCCTACGCTAAGAGCAGTGTGTTTCAGTTGGCTTCCTACGCTAAGAGCAGTGTGTTTCAGTTGGCTTCCTACGCTAAGAGCAGAGTGTTTCAGTTGGCTTCCTACGCTAAGAGCAGAGTGTTTCAGTTGGCTTCCTACGCTAAGAGCAGTGTGTTTCAGTTGGCTTCCTACGCTAAGAGCAGTGTGTTTCAGTTGGCTTCCTACGCTAAGAGCAGAGTGTTTCAGTTGGCTTCCTACGCTAAGAGCAGAGTGTTTCAGTTGTAAGACACTGAGCACATAATAGATATTGTGTGTGTGATACACAGCACAAATAACGGATTGATGCATACACACTGTTTCTGGGTTTTCTGTGTTGGCGGGTTTTGATTATATGGGCGGCTGTCAATTTATTGCCAGTTCAATTCATGTGACTTGCTGCTTGATTTTGCTCATTATCGTGTCGGTCAGTATGAGTGGGGTCTGTTGGGGTCTGTTGTGATCAGATGTCTGTTGTTACTGCCTAGCCAAGTGGCCTGCCCTAGCGTCCCATTGATCACTGATGGTGGATAGTGGTACAGTGAGGGAAAAAAGTATTTGATCCCCTGCTGATTTTTTATGTTTGCCCACTGACAAAGACATGATCAGTCTATAATTTTAATGGTAGGTTTATTTGAACAGTGGGAGACAGAATAACAACAAACAAATCCAGAAAAATGCATGTCAGAAATGTTAGAAATTGATTTGCATTTTAATGAGGGAAATAAGTATTTGACCCCTCTGCAAAACATGACTTAGTACTTGGTGGCAAAACCGTTGTTGGCAATCACAGAGGTCAGACGTTTCTTGTAGTTGGCCACCAGGTTTACACACATCTCAGGAGGGATTTTGTCCCACTCCTCTTTGCAGATATTCTCCAAGTCATTAAGGTTTCGAGGCTGACGTTTGGCAACTCAAACCTTCATCTCCCTGCACAGATTTTCTATGGGATTAAGGTCTGGAGACTGGCTAGGCTTAATGTGCTTCTTCTTGAGCCACTCCTTTGTTGCCTTGGCCATGTGTTTTGGGTCATTGTCATGCTGGAATACCCATCCACGACTCATTTTCAATGCCCTGGCTGAGGGTAGGAAGTTCTCACATAAGATTTGACGGTACATGGCCCCGTCCATCGTCCCTTTGATGCGGTGAAGTTGTCCTGTCCCCTTAGCAGAAAAACACCCCCAAAGCATAATGTTTCCACCTCCATGTTTGACGGTGGGGATGGTGTTCTTGGGGTCATAGGCAGCATTCCTCCTCCTCCAAACACGGCGAGTTGAGTTGATGCCGAAGAGCTCGATTTTGGTCTCATCTGACCACAACACTTTCACCCAGTTCTCCTCTGAATCATTCAGACGGGCCTGTATCTTGAGCAGGGGGACCTTGCGGGCGCTGCAGGATTTCAGTCCTTCACGACGTAGTGTGTTACCAATTGTTTTCTTGGTGACTATGGTCACAGCAGCCTTGAGATCATTGACAAGATCCTCCCGTGTAGTTCTGGGCTGATTCCTCACCGTTCTCATGATCATTGTAACTCCACGAGGTGAGATCTTGCATGGAGCCCCAGGCCGAGGGAGATTGAAAGTTATTTTGTGTTTCTTCCATTTGCGAATAATCGCACCAACTGTTGTCACCTTCTCACCAAGCTGCTTGGCGATGGTCTTGTATCCTATTCCAGCCTTGTGTAGGTCTACAATCTTGTCCCTGACATCCTTGGAGAGCTCTTTGGTCTTGGCCATGGTGGAGAGTTTGGAATCTGATTGATTGATTGCTTCTGTGGACAGGTGTCTTTTATACATGTAACAAACTGAGATTAGGATCACTCCCTTTAAGAGTGTGCTCCTAATCTCTGCTCGTTACCTGTATAAAAGACACCTGGGAGCCAGAAATCTTTCTGATTGAGAGGGGGTCAAATACTTATTTCCCTCATTAAAATGCAAATCAATTTATAACATTTTTGACATGCGTTTTTCTGGATTTTTTGTTGTTGTTATTCTGTCTCTCACTGTTCAAATAAACCTACCATTAAAATTATAGACTGATCATTTCTTTGTCAGTGGGCAAACGTACAAAATCAGCAGGGGATCAAATACTTTTTTCCCTCACTGTATCTCCAACTCACTGAGCAGCCTGGGTGTATTCTGCTATTAAACAGACAGGTTGCAGGCACAAGGTCGAACACAAAGTGAAGCAGCATTTATTATTCATCAGGCAGTCCACGAAGAGATCAAATGCATCCTGCCTTGATACCGCCCACACCACCAAGAAATCCATTAAAACTTCCAACAAATGACGCTATGACACCGCATACCATAATGAACCGCGCTAATGGTTGTATAATTATCACAGTTTTAATCATTTCTACAAATGATAAAATGCTGTTCCGATGCTTTATTAATACAGTGGTTGGTGCCGTGCCAGAGCACAGAGAGTGAATCTCATATCAATGTGAGCGGGTTCCTGTTTTGTCAGCAGACACGCAATAAGCCAATTATAGAGCTGCTCAGCTAGCAGCTTGTGTACCCAAGTGTCCTCTGGAGGACAGAGTCCCTGGAATTGAACAGAAAGGCTAGGGCAAAGGCTGGCTGCATTCAAAGCATCCAAAGTCTCCTCTCCTCTCTCAGTCTCAACTACCTTGATAATCTCCTCTGAATGTAACATACTGGAGGGAAACAGTGGCATCAGACTTGAACGTACCCTTCCCTTGACTTTGACAACTGGCTGATAATATGAAGGAGAACACAGCCTGGCTAATTGTGAGTGACAGGACAATCTTCATGGATTAGAGTTTAATTAGAATTAAGGCGTCATGCTCCGCTATTTTTTTATTTAACGTTTATTTAACCAGGTAAACCAGTTGAGAACAAGTTCTTATTTACAACTACGACCTGGCCAAGATAAAGCAAAGCAGTGCGATAAAAAACAACAACACAGAGTTACATATGGGGTAAACAAAACATAAAGTCAAAAATACAACAGAAAATATATATATAGTGTGTGCAAATGTAGCAAGTTATGGAGGTAAGGCAATAAATAGGAAGTAAGGCAATAAATACAATTTAGTATTAACACTGGAATGATAGATGTGCAAGAGATGAAAGTGCAAATAGAGATACTGGGGTGCAAATGAGCAAAATAAATAACAATATGGGGATGAGGTAGTTGGGTGGGCTAATTTCAGATGGGCTGTGTACAGGTGCAGTGATCGGTAAGGTGCTATGACAGCTGATGCTTAAAGTTAGTGAGGGAGATAAGAGTCTCCAGCTTCAGAGATTTTTGCAGTTCGTTCCAGTCATTGGCAGCAGAGAACTGGAAGGAATGGAAATAGGAAGCCGATTCCAGATTTAACTTCGGATTGGAGATGCTTAATGTGAGTCTGGAAGGATAGTTTACAGTCTAAATACACCAGGATGTATTTGTAGTTGTCCACATACTCTAGGTCAGACCAGCCGAGAGTAGTGATTCTAGTTGGGTGGGTGGGTGCCAGCTGTGTTCGATTGAAGAGCATGCATTTAGTTTTACTAGTGTTTAAGAGCAGTTGGAGGCTACGGAAGGAGTGTTGTATGGCATTGAAGCTCGTTTGGAGGTTTGTTAACACAGTGTCCAATGAAGGGCCAGATGTATACAAAATGGTGTCGTCTGCGTAGAGGTGGATCTGAGAGTCACCAGCAGCAAGAGCGACATCATTGATATACACAGAGAAAAGAGTCGGCCCGAGAATTGAACCCTGTGGCACCCCCATAGAGGCTGCCATAGGTCCAGACAACAGGCCCTCCGATTTGACACATTGAACTCTATCTGAGAAGTAGTTGGTGAACCAGGCGAGGCAGTCATTTGAGAAACCAAGGCTATTTAGTCTGCCAATAAGAATGCGGTGGTTGACAGAGTCGAAAGCCTTGGCCAGGTCGATGAAGACGGCTGCACAGTACTGTCTAATATCGATCGCGGTTATAATTTCATTTAGGACCTTGAGCGTGGCTGAGGTGCACCCATGACCAGCTCGGAAACCAGATTGCATAGCGGAGAAGGTACAGTAGGTTTCGAAATGGTCGGTAATCTGTTTGTTAACTTGGCTTTCAAAAACTTTCGAAAGGCAGGGCAGGATGGATATAGGTCTGTAACAGTTTGGATCTAGAGTGTCACCCCGTTTGAAGAGGGGGATGACCGCGGCAGCTTTCCAATCTCTGGGGATCTCAGACGTTACGAAAGAGAGGTTGAACAGGCTAGTAATAGGGGTTGCGACAATTTCGGCTGCTAATTTTAGAAAGAAAGGGTCCAGATTGTCTAGCCCAGATGATTTGTAGGGGTCCAGATTTTGCAGCTCTTTCAGAACATCAGCTGTCTGAATTTGTGTGAAGGAGAAGCGGGGGAGGCATGGGCAAGTTGCAGCGGAGGGTGCAGAGCTGGTGGCCGGGGTAGTGGTAGCCAGGTGGAAAGCATGGCCAGCCGTAGCGAAATGCTTGTTGAAATTCTCGATTATTGTAGATTTATCGGTGGTGATAGTGCAGTGGGCAGCTGGACTTTACAGTGTCCCAAAACATTTTGGAATTAGTGCTACAGGATGCAAATTTCTGTTTAAAAAAACTAGCCTTTGCTTTCCTAACTGCTTGTGTATATTGGTTCCTAACTTCCCTGAAAAGTTGCATATCGCGGGGGCTATTCGATGCTAATGCAGTACGTCACAGGATGTTTTTGTGCTGGTCAAGGGCAGTCAAGTCTGAGGAGAACCAGGGGCTATATCTGTCTTAGTTATGACATTTTTGAATAGGCATGCTTATTTAAGATTGAGAGGAAAGCACTTTTAAAGAACAACCAGGCATCCTCTACTGACGGAATGAGATCGATATCCATCCAGGATACCTGGGCCAGGTCAATTAGGAAGGCCTGCTAGCTAAAGTGTTTTAGGGAGCGTTTGACAATGATGAGGGGTGGTCGTTTGACCGCGGACCCGTTACGGACGTAGGTAATAAGGCAGTGATCGCTGAGATCCTGGTTGAAGACAGCGGAGGTGTATTTAGAGGGTAAATTAGTCAGGATGATATCTATGAGGGTGCCCATGTTTGCGGATTTAGGGTTGTACCTGGTAGGTTCCTTGATAATTTGTGTGAGATTAAGGGCATCTAGTTTGGATTGTAGAATGGCCGGGATGTTAAGCATATCCCAGTTTAGGTCACCAAGCAGTACGAACTCTGAGGATAGATGGGGGGCAATCAATTCACATATGG